CATCCTACTAATGAGCAAGGTGAGAGGAACTTTACAATATCATCTGTTTATCAAAACAGCACCCCAGTTATAACAAGACAGGTACCCAGAACATAACAGAACGTTTTCATTTGGTTTATGAGATCACAAGATAGACAAATATTTTCCAAACATTGTTAGAACGTTTTTAGTCAAGAATGATGTTCTTTTCAGGAACATGTCTCTGGAGGTCTCAAATTAGCATATGTGGCACAAAAAAAAATGCTTAAATGTACAAGTATTTGATAGGTGTAAACATTTATAGCATATAAATAACAAAACAATTAGACTGGTTTGATCAGCACAAAAGTGATGAGAGAGGCAGGACGACGCATCAGAGTGGGCTTCGCGATGGTCCGAATGATGCTACACGGCGGCCAGTTCAACTTGATCTGGAAACATCTCCATATGACCGGCGTTCTCCATGTCCGAGGGCAACGGAGCAATTTTGTGTTTGATTCGGTAAAGCATCACGATCAACACTGCAATCAAAAATAACAGCAAACATACAAAAAGTCCAAGGTATGTCGACAAACTTGGTAGCCTTGGGTCTTGACGTCCTATTTGCGCGACAGTTGTTGTCCAGATGTGCTCGTCACTGGAGTTGAATAACATTTTGGAAAACCCATCAGGGCTTGGGGTAAGAAAGTTCCTCCAGATTATTTGGCCATTCATCATGGTGAATATTACAATGCTGTCATCAAGTTGTAGACTCCGGGTTTCAAGTGAACAAATTGTTATGTCCAGTCGCGCAATGCCCAATGTATGTCCCAATTACATTTGAATGCGCAATTATCCACATAATTCAAACAGTTTGGTGAATACAGTCCGTTGGCCAGTCCGAGGTCAGGTTTCGAGGATACACGGTAGTAGGTTATTGATTTTGAGGTGTGTGTAATAAGGACGCGGTCGCGCGGTTTTCTGTGACGCCTGAGTGCGCTCTTCCCGTTTTCTTTATTTGGACGATCGGTACGTCACTCTATGAGAGCAAATTTATGACACAAATATTGCGTAAAGTCCCCGCTTAATTTGAAGGGATTTAAAATGGATTTCTAATATGTTCTAAAGGTGAAAATAAATACATATATTTTGTAGTTTTTTTTGCGCACTGTCGGGACCGCGTTTCTCGTTGCCTCCTCCGGCGACATTTAAACAATTCATGAACGGATGAGTCTTGTGTCAAAAACAGAAGCAGTGACCTTGCATTCTGTAAAAAAAAATTACAAAAATCTCCGTCATATAGACTGGGCTTTCTCATACAATACCCTGAACGTCGAACCAATGACTGAAGGCATTGGTTTTGGGAGCATAAGGGTTTTAATTCATTAAATTGTTTCCATCCATATAGTTTTCTTCTTCATATGAGATTACAATCATGTTTCATGCGCAGTGTCCTATCTATGGTCCTATCTATTTTGCTACTCTGTTCTTTATTTTACCTTTATTATTATCTATCCGGATGCCTTCATGTATCTCGTATCTCTGCACATTGGTCTGGTACTAGTACTCCCTGTATATAGCTCCATTCTTGTGTATTTTACTTTATTCCTCTTGTGTTAGTTACCATTTTATTTGTATTATTATTTAAACTCTGCATTGATGGGAAAGGTTCGTAAACAAGCATTTCACTGTAAAGTCTACACCAGTTGTATTTGGCGCATGTGATGAATAAAATAACATTTTATTTTATTTTAATTTGATCCTCTGGTGGTGGTGATGGTGTTTGTGTGTGTTGGTCCCATGTTTCATGAGCTGATTTAAAAGATCCCAGAAATGTTCCATTCACACAAAAAGCTTGTGCCGCTCTAATTTTGTGCACACATTTTTTACATACCTGTTAGTGAGCATGTGTCCTTTGCCAAGATAATCCATCCACCTGATGGTGTGGCATATCAATAAGCTGATTAAACAGCATGATCATTACACAGGTGTACCTTGTGCCAGGGACAATAAAAGGCCACTCTAAAATGTGCTGTTTTGTCACACAACACAATGCCACAGATGTCTCAAGTTTTGAGGGAGCGTGCAATTGGCATGCTGACTGCAGGAATGTCCACCAGAACTGTTGTCAGAGAATTTAAGGTTAATTTCGCTACCATAAGCCGCCTCCAATGTCGCTTTAGAGAATTTGGCAGTACGTCCAACCGGCCTCACAACCGCAGACCACGTGTAATCACACCAGCCCAGGACCTCCACATCTGGCTTCTTCACCAGCGGGATCTTCTGATTGGCTGAGCCTGGCTCCCCTGTGGGTGGGCCTATGCCCTCCCAGGCCCACCCATGGCTGCACCCCTGCCCAGTCATGTGAAATCCATAGATTAGGGCCTAATTTATTTATTTAAATTCACTGATTTCCTTATATGAACTGTAACTCAGCAAAATCTTTGAAATTGTTGCATATTGCGTTTATATTTTTGTTCAGTATATATTATACCTATATTCAGACACTTAAGGATAGGCTACAGTGATTATGCTCTCTTCAATCATTCAATTCCACAGTTGATTTAAGCCACAGTTGCTATTCAAGCCTACTGTGTTTGTGAGAAGAATATGGATGGGATTCTGACTGACTCACAACAGAGTTTGATGTCCATTGCTTTTCAAAGTAAAATCAAGGCCAAGGACAGTATGAATCAAACCACTATATTCTCTCACAGAAAGCAAGGCCACCTGCCATAGAGTAGACCATTGAGACATGAAGGTACATAATTGTGCCACTATGGTCCTGAAACATCCCACAGGGCACAGATGTCAATTCAATGTCTATTCCACGTTGGTTCAACGTAGTTTCATTGAAATGACGTGGAAATAAAATTGATTCAACCAGTGTGTGCCCAGTGGGATAAGATGTTCCTGCTTCTGGAAGATATAATGTCTTTCCATTAAAATACACTACATGACCAAAAGTATGTGGACACCTGCTCGTCGAACATCTCATTCCAAAATCATGGGCATTAATATGGAGTTCGTCCCCCCTTTGCTACTATAACAGCCTCCACTCTTCTGGGAAGGCTTTCCACTAGATGTTGGAACATTGCTGCGGGGACTTAGACCTGGCTCGCAGTCGACGTTCCAATTCATCCCAAAGGTGTTCGATGGGGTTGAGGTCAGGGCTCTGTGCAGGCCAGTCAAGTTCTTCCACACCAATCTCAACAAACCATTTCTGTATGGACCTCGCTTTGTGCACGGGGGCATTGTCATTTTGAAACAGGAAAGGGCCTTCCCCAAACTGTAACCACAAAGTTGGAAGCACAGAATCGTCTAGAATGTCATTGTATGCTGTTGTAACAGTGTTGCTTCCGTCCCTCTCCTCGCCCCTACCTGGGCTTGAACCAGGGACCCTCTGCACACATCGACAACAGTCACCCTCCAAGCACCGTTACCCGTCGCTCCACAAAAGCCGCAGCCCTTGCAGAGCAAGGGAAACAACTACTTCAATGTCTCAGAGGGAGTGACGTCACCGATTGAAATGCTACTAGCGCACACCGCTAACTAGCTAGCCATTTCACACCGGTTACACTGTAGCGTTAAGATTTCCCTTCACTGGAACTAAGGGTCCTAGCCCGAACCATGAAAAACAGCCCCAGACTATTATTCCTCCTCCACCAGACTTTACAGTTGGCACTATGCATTCGGGCAGGTAGCGTTCTCCTGGCATCCACCAAACCCAGATTCGTCTGTCGGGCTGCCAGATGGTGAAGTGTGATTCATCACTCCAGAGAACACATTTCCACTAATTCAGAGTCCAATGGCGGCGATCTTTACACCAGTCCAGCCGACGCTTGACATTGCGCATGGTGATCTTAGGCTTGTGTGCGGCTGCTCGGCCATGGAAACCCATTTCATGAAGCTCAATACGAACAGTTCTTGTGCTGACGTTGCTTCCAGAGGCAGTTTGGAACTCGGTAGTGAGTGTTGCAACCGAGGACAGACGATTTTTACGTGCTACGTGCTTCAGCACTCGGCGGTCCCGTTCTGTGAGCTTGTGTGGCATACCACTTCGCGGCTGAGCTATTGTTGCTCTTAGACGTTTCCACTTCACAATTACAGCACTTACAGTTGACCAGGGCAGCTCTAGCAGGGACGAAATTGTGCCACATTGAAAGTCACTGAGCACTTCAGTACGGGCCATTCTACTGACAATGTTTGTCTATGGAGATTGCATGGCTGTGTGCTCGATTTTATACACCTGTCAGCAACAGGTGTGGCTGAAATAGCCGAAACCACTAATTTGAAGGGGTGTCCACATACTTTTGTATACATAGTGTATGATTGAACATGGACTCAAGTGGGGCAGATATAGTAGTGAAAAGGTCTGAGATTTCTAATCAACCACTCTGGATCCACTGTGTGCATAAAAGTTTAGACCTGCAAATTGAAGTCACCAGCCACCTATGCAGACTGGGTCTTGAGGTACAGATAGGCACTCTCCAGAAGAGTACCAGATGTCTGGTGATGATATTTGTACATCTGTGGTTGTTCCATGGTTCTCCTGTGTGTGTGTGTCTCTCTCTCTCTCCCCCCCCCCCCCCCCCTCTCTCTCTCTCTCTCTCTCTCTCTCTCTCTCTCTCTCTCTCTCTCTCTCTCTCTCTCTCTCTCTCTCTCTTTCTCTCTCTCTCTCTTTCTCTCTCTCTCTCTCTCTCTCTCTCTCTCTCTCTCTCTCTTTCTCAATAATTCATCAGCCATAGAGACAAAGCCTACATCTCATCATCTTCAAAAAGCCTTTACTCCTCTTGCTCTGACATCTTCAGTAATGGCCAACTAGGTTTATACAGTATTTACACTGCAAAGATACCAAAAGAGCCAGACCATGAAAGGACAAATCCAGTTGAAAAAGGACAAATCCATCCCAAAGGCCATCCATTAGGTTCATTGTGCTCCAGTTAACAGCCAATGTCATATCAGTTGACCAGATGGGGGCGCACGGGATCTAAATAAAGTGCATTGTGCGCACAGACAGACGCGGGAAGGAGAGGACTTCATGAGGGTTTTCATCCCAACTCGCTACAGTCGATTCTGAACTTTCGGACCTGAGGGTGCTGGAGGACGCTGTCGCAGCTTTTCTTCTCTCCTCAATTTCAACACGCGTGGATCGAAGTCAACTTAATATGAAAACATGTCTGTAAATGAAATGTACGTTTTCCGACCATTCAAGTTGATTGCTTTACTTTGTGTATTTCTGGCATTGTGTCTGGACATTGTAGCGTTACTGAGTCCAGCCTGGGTAACGGCAGAGCGGTTTTCTTTGTCGCTATGGGAATCATGCACTGAAACAGAGGCTGGCTGGAGATGCCTTTCCACCCTCACATCTGGTAAGAAGCATTATTTTTTTCTCAAATTCTTCTGTATGTTGATGTAAATGATGACTTTCAAGTGGTTTTCTATCCAGATGAAAAGGGATCCACAAAATGAGTTATAATCCTTGTCTCCCAAAATAATGTAGAAGTATGTTGGCAGCGAATGAAAAGGGACTATTACTATAGGAACCCAAAAATTGTGATATTGGTATTTTTTATGCTTTAAATCCCTGCTCTTAAGGCCCATTATCTATAACAAACTCTATAAAACATGGCTAAAGACCTAAAGCCTGATATAGCCTACACGCCATGGCATAGAAATTGGGGGTCTTCTGATGCGGTTGTTTCTCTTTCTCAACCTTGTTGAAGTTCTATAGCATACACACACATATTATAGACTTATCCAGATGGATACAGAAACAATGCGTAAAGCAATCGGATTATAGTGAGAGAAATACCTGGAATTTACGGTGAATATCTACTGTATGTACATCATGGATGAAGAGATCAAACAATGGACCATTGTTAATGTACTGTAATTTGCTTGTTCAACATCGCTGTTGGTCCGGCTCCACAGATACACTTGCGTTCCAGGGGCAATATTTTGTAGCCTGGTTTCCTTCTCTGTTCAGCTATTCCACTATTTGCCACTTGCCACTATTACATTCCACTCCTTGCCACTCCTGTCATGAGTGGAATATGTTTTCTAAGAAGACTGGTACCCAGACTAAATATTTTGCTTTCTGCCCTGTCATTCAGAGCGCACCACTTCTGTGAGTGATTCTCGTGATACAAGTAGCTGTTTAGGCTTATCTGAGGCAGTTCTCTTTGAGTGTCGCCAGAGTTTGTTGATCTGTTGTAATGTGAAGTTTTCTTTCTCAGCAGAGCGTTGTATTGCTGAGCAATTAGTCCCCATGATGTACCATCTGGGTGCTCCACTGACCTCTGTAGAGCTTTCCCACTGGGCACAGACGTCAGTTCAACGTCTAGGTTTGATTTAGCCTACATTTTGTTTTCCACGTTGATTCAATGTCATCACATAGATTTTTTGGGTTGAAATGACGTGGAAACCACGTTGATTTAGGCAGTTTTTGCCCAGTGGGTTGTGAATGCATAGCAGTGTTCCACCTATTCTTGCATTCCTCTGGTGGAGAGGGCACTCTTGCTTTGTTATCTCTTTTTGTGAGTCTCTCTCCCTCTCGCTCTCTTTAAATGGGGAGGGGCCGTGGTTATGGCCTGAAATCGTCATCATAGATACATTTCACGGTTTAAGGAGGGATGTTCTCACGCATTCCGACATAGGCCTAAGCCACATATTTAGGAGCAACAACTCTAGTTGTTCCGTGATTGGCTCAGTTTGCTGTCACTCATGGGGACACACAATCTACAAGGAGAGCTAGAAAGTTCAAGCCCCCTTGGGTGCTGCCATAGATTTACATTAGAAGTGCCCATCCAAGAAGGCTCAAGGTCATTGGCCACAAATAAAATGATGTCAAATCATGTTATATCTACCGTAGATTTGATTGGACTTATCATGTCAACATCATACTTTCAAAATCTTAGCTAGCAAGCTAGCAGTCATCATCATGAATCAAGTCGACAATCTACTGGCAAATCCTTTTCAATCCTTGTCATATGAAGAGAAATTATAAATAAAACGTATCGGTGCTCATCGGCCATTGGACATAAACATTACACAACAAGTTGGAAATCGCAAATTCAACATTGAGTGGTTTGGAAGGAATCAGTGGCTAACTGCAAGCGTTGCAAAGTAATCACTATTTTGCTTCCCCTGCTATTCGGTGGAGAGGGTGTGTGGGTTTAAGTTTATTTTTTCCAAGCTTAAATGGATAAACATTCACACGCAATACCATGGGCCACAAAAGGTTTAATACATTGGCCATGCTCTCAATCCAGCATGACTTCTGCCACGTTCAAAACAACTGGAAACTCTGAACTGGGAAATATCAGAATTCAGTGTGTTCAAGACAACTGGGAACTTGGAAAAAAACAGGCTCCGACTAGGAAAACACGTTTTGAACAGTCATCCAACTCAGAATTCCAAGTTGGGAACTCAAGCCTCTTTCTAGAGCTCCGACCTGAAGATCACTGACGTCATGATTCGACCTTGTTTTTTCCAGAGTTCCCAGTTGTCTTGAAAGCACCATAAATCCAGAGAATGCCAGACTTTGATGACAAAGTTTCATGACAAAATCTTCCCACAAGAAGGACCGCTGCGCCACCTTCCTGTTCAAGTAAGCACAGCACAATGGCATTCACGCCAGGGTAAGCCTATATGAAATACAGCCCTTATTTTAAGTGTTTCTAAAATCCCCTATGGGAAAAATGAATGGTAGAAAAACAATTGGAACCATTTCCCTGTTTGACATCTAGGTTGTATGGGTATTATGACACCTCCACTGTGGGGCTCTATTGTTGGTCTCTTTCAACATTACATGCTGCTTCCTTTGAGTTTCTTCCTTCTCCTCTACTGGTTCTCAGTATCTCAGTAGCTGTTTTGGCTGAGCCTCCCAGCAGAGTAGAATGTGCTGTTAGGGAAAGCCTCAGTGAGGATGCTACTGCCACTGCAGCCAGCTTTATTACTGCCTCAAGGCTCCAGCACAGAGCAGAGCAAAGAGGCTGGTAGGACACCAGATGGGTGCTGTGATCAGGAGAGGCAGGTTAACCCTGGCTGTCTCCTCTGATAGGACCCTCTCGCTCAGTTCTGTGCCCTCCCCTGTTGTGCCCAGCCAGCCACACCCTCTCCCAGCTTGATGGTCTGTCTCTGTCAGACAAACAGAAAAAACACTGTAGGGGGAGGTTATCTTCTGCACTGTTCAACCATTCCAGTAAATGTGGAGGAGGAGTTAAGATGGAGTGTCGCCTTGTTAATATTCCGGATGGAAACAACTTCAGAGAGCAAGGTAGCACGTGTCGTAGCTAGCTGCTAGCCAGATATTAGCTAGCACTATCTAGCGATAATGGAATCTCCGACAAAGTTGACACCTACAAAATTGGTATGTGGTGTCTTTCGACTTTGTGGCAAGAACTTCATCTCGAAGACAGACATTACATTTGACATTTTCGTCATTTAGCAGACGCTCTTATCCAGAGCGACTTACAAATTGGTGCATTCACCCTATAGCCAGTGGGATAACCACTTTACCCTTTTTTTTTTTTTTTGGGGGTGTGGGGTAAGGGGGGGTAGAAGGATTACTTTATCCTATCCCAGGTATTCCTTAAAGAGGTGGGGTTTCAAGTGTCTCCTGAAGGTGGTGAGTGACTCCGCTGTCCTGGCGTTGTGAGGGAGCTTGTTTCCACCATTGGGGTGCCAGAGCAGCGAATAGCTTTGACTGGGCTGAGCGGGAACTGTGCTTCCGCAGAGGTAGGGGGGCCAGCAGGCCAGAGGTGAATGAACGCAATGCCCTCGTTTGGGTGTAGGGACTGATCAGAGCCTGAAGGTAAGGAGGTGCCGTTCCCCTCACAGCTCCGTAGGCAAGCACCATGGTCTTGTAGCAGATGCGAGCTTCAACTGGAAGCCAGTGGAGTGTGCGGAGGAGCAGGTGACGTGAGAGAACTTGGGAAGGTTGAACACCAGACGGGCTGTGGCGTTCTGGATGAGTTGTAGGGGTTTAATGGCACAGGCAGGGAGTCCAGCCAACAGCGAGTTGCAGTAATCCAGACGGGAGATGACAAGTGCCTGGATTAGGACCTGTGCCGCTTCCTGTGTAAGGCAGGGTCGTACTCTGCAAATGTTGTAGAGCATGAACCTACAGGATCGGGTCACCGCCTTGATGTTAGCGGAGAACGACAGGGTGTTGTCCAGGGTCACGCCAAGGCTCTTTGCACTCTGGGAGGAGCACACACCAGAGTTGTCAACCGTGATGGCGAGATCATGGAACGGGCAGTCCTTCCCCGGGAGGAAGAGCAGCTCCGTCTTGCCGAGGTTCAGCTTGAGGTGGTGATCCGTCATCCACACTGATATGTCTGCCAGACATGCAGAGATGTGATTCACCACCAGGTTATCAGAAGGGGGAAAGGAGAATATTAATTGTGTGCCGTCTGCGTAGCAATGATAGGAGAGGCCATGTGAGGATATGACAGAGCCAAGTGACTTGGTGTATAGCGAGAATAGGAGAGGGCCTAGAACTGAGCCCTGGGGGACACCAGTGGTGAGAGCACGTGGTGCGGAGACAGATTCTCGCCACGCCACCTGGTAGGAGTGACCTGTCAGGTAGGACGCAATCCAAGAGTGAGCCGTGCCGGAGATGCCCAACTCGGAGAGGGTGGAGAGGAGGATTTGATAGTTCACAGTATCAAAGGCAGCAGATAGGTCTAGAAGGACGAGAGCAGAGGAGAGAGAGTTAGCTTTAGCAGTGCGGAGAGCCTCCGTGACACAGAGAAGAGCAGTCTCAGTTGAATGACCAGTCTTGAAACCTGACTGGTTTGGATCAAGAAGGTCATTCTGAGAGAGATAGCAAGAGAGTTGGCTAAAGACAGCACGCTCAAGAGTTTTGGAGAGAAAAGAAAGAAGCGATACTGGTCTGTAGTTGTTGACATCGGAGGGATCGAGTGTAGGTTTTTTGAGAAGGGGTGCAACTCTTGCTCTCTTGAAGACGGACTACCTATAGTCATCCACTATATGTTTCACCGGAGACTGTAAACAGCGAGGCGCACGTACAAAGCGGAAGTGGCGTCACAGGCTCTCTTCCTTTTCCCCTGAAAACCGTATGTTTCCGTCACATTATAAGCTTCTGTGATAGATCTCCTTCCCTCTGTTGTTCCCTGGGCAGTGAGAGAGAACATCTGCCTGCCTGGCGGAGCTCATTAGGACCAGGGCTTCTGGGTGCAGGGGCATGGTGGGGTTAACACTACAGGAGACAAAGGAGAAGGTGACCTGGGGGGCGAGAAAGACATGACAGAGCTCATTATCTGCCTCCAGTGGAGCTTCTCTCTGTTCTCTGAGGCGAGCCAGCCAACCGAGACGCAACAGACCTGAGGGAGAACTGAACAGTCAGCTGGATTTTGGAGCGCTGCACCTTGGCTCTATCTGCACAGCCAGAACCTGGACAGAGGAGAGGCAGAGGCAGATGAGATGTATGAGATGGAAGAAAGTGTTTTGCACGTGGTCAAGTGAGCATGTTTGAAGTAGCTTTGTGGATCAAGCTCCCTTCACTGTCTAAATTAAAACACTAGAGAGAACTGTGTATGTTGGGGAATTTTGAACTCTTTCTTGACCACAAATACACACACACGTGTTTTGTGTTGTAACAAGTAGGCTTGTTTCCTGTTTGTCTCTCATCACTGGTCTGAGTTTATGGGGGATCCATTCAATTCCACCATACAGCCATACACTACATGACCAAAAGTATGTGGACACCTGCTTGTCAAACATCTCATTGCAGAATCATGGGCATTAATATGGAGTTGGTCCCCCCTTTGCTGCTATAACGGGTCCGCGGTCCGTAACGCGTCCGCGGTCAAACGACCACCCCTCATCACTGTCAAACGCTCCCTAAAACACTTTAGCGAGCAGGCCTTCCTAATTGACCTGGCCCAGGTATCCTGGATGGATATAGATCTCATTCCGTCAGTAGAGGATGCCTGGTTGTTCCTTAAAAGTAATTTCCTCTCAATCTTAAATAAACATGCCCCATTCAAAAAATACAGAACTAAGAACCGATATAGCCCCTGGTTCTCCTCAGACTTGACTGCCCTTGACCAGCACAAAAACATCCTGTGGCGTACTGCATTAGCATCAAATAGCCCCCGTGATATGCAACTTTTCAGGGAAGTTAGGAACCAATATACACAAGCAGTCAGGAAAGCAAAGGCTAACTTTTTCAAACAGAAATTTGCATCCTGTAGCACTAACTCCAAAAAGTTTTGGGACACTGTAAAGTCCATGGAGAATAAGAGCACTTCCTCCCAGTTGCCCACTGCACTGAGGCTAGGAAACACTATCACCACCGATAAATCTACAATAATCGAGAATTTCAACAAGCACTTTGCTACAGCTGGCCATGCTTTCCATCTGGCTACCACTACCCCGGCCACCAACTCTGCACCCTCCGCTGCAACTTGCCCATGCCCCCCCCCGCTTCTCCTTCACACAAATTGTTTTGAAAGAGCTGCAAAATCTGGACCCCTACAAATCAGCTGGGCTAGACAATCTGGACCCTTTCTTTCTAAAACTAGCCGCCGAAATTGTCGCAACCCCTATTACTAGTCTGTTCAACCTCTCTTTCATAACGTCTGAGATCCCCAGAGATTGGAAAGCTGCCGCGGTCATCCCCCTCTTCAAAGGGGGTGACACTCTAGATCCAAACTGCTACAGACCTATATCCATCCTGCCCTGCCTTTCGAAAGTATTTGAAAGCCAAGTTAACAAACAGATCACCGACCATTTCGAATACCACCGTACCTTCTCCGCTATGCAATCCGGTTTCCGAGCTGGTCATGGGTGCACTTCAGCCACGCTCAAGGTCCTAAACGATATTATAACCGCGATTGATAATAGACAGTACTGTGCAGCCGTCTTCATCAACCTGGCCAAGGCTTTCGACTCTGTCAACCACCGCATTCTTATTGGCAGACTAAATAGCCTTGGTTTCTCAAATGACTGCCTCGCCTGGTTCACCAACTACTTTTCAGATAGAGTTCAGTGTGTCAAATCGGAGGGCCTGTTGTCTGGACCTATGGCAGTCTCTATGGGGGTGCCACAGGGTTCAATTCTTGGGCCGACACTTTTCTCCGTGTATATCAATGATGTCGCTCTTGCTGCTGGTGACTCTCAGATCCACCTCTACGCAGACGACACCATTTTGTATACATCTGGCCCTTCATTGGACACTGTGTTAACAAACCTCCAAACGAGCTTCAATGCCATACAACACTCCTTCAGTAGCCTCCAACTGCTCTTAAACACTAGTAAAACTAAATGCATGCTTTTCAATCGAACGCTGCTGGCACCCGCCCACCCGACTAGAATCACCACTCTCGACGGGTCTGACCTAGAGTATGTGGACAACTACAAATACCTAGGTGTCTGGTTAGACTGTAAACTATCCTTCCAGACTCACATAAAGAATCTCCAATCCAAAGTTAAATCTAGAATCGGCTTCCTATTTCACAATAAAGCCTCCTTCACTCATGCTGCCAAACATGCCCTCGTAAAACTGACTATCCTACCGATCCTTGACTTCGGCGATGTCATTTACAAAATAGCCTCCAACACTCTACTCAGCAAATTGGATGTAGTCTATCACAGTGCCATCCGTTTTGTCTCCAAGGCCCCATACACTACCCACCACTGTGACCTGTACGCTCTTGTTGGCTGGTCCTCACTACATGTTCGTCGTCAAACCCACTGGCTCCAGGCCATCTATAAATCACTGCTAGGCAAATCCCCGCCTTATCTTAGCTCATTGGTCACCATAGCAGCACCCACCCGTAGTCTGCGCTCCAGCAGGTATATCTCACTGGTCATTCCCAAAGCCAACACCTCCTTTGGCCGCCATTCCTTCCAGTTCTCTGCTGCCAATGACTGGAACGAATTGCAAAAATCTCTGAAGCTGGAGACTCTTATCTCCCTCACTAACTTTAAGCATCAGTTGTCAGAGCACCTTACCAATCACTGCACCTGTACACAGCCCATCTGAAATTAGCCCACCCAACTACCTCATCCCTATATTGTTATTTATTTTGCTCTTTTGCACCCCAGTATCTCTATTTGCACATAATCTCTTGCACATCTAGCATTCCAGTGTTAATACTATTGTAATTATTTTGCAATATAGCCTATTTTTTGCCTTACCTCCATAACTTGCTACATTTGCACACACTGTATATATATTTTCTGTTGTATTTTTGACTTTATGTTTTTTTACCCCATATGTAACTCTGTGTTGTTTTTATCGCACTGCTTTGCTTTATCTTGGCCAGGTCGCAGTTGTAAATGAGAATTTGTTCTCAACTGTCTTACCTGGTTAAATAAAGGTGAAATAAATAAAAATTAAAAATAACAGCCTCCAGCCTTCTGGGAAGGCTTTCCACTAGATGTTAGAACATTGCTGCTGGGACTTGCTTCCATTCAGCCACAAGAGCATTAGTGAGGTCGGGCACTGATGTTGGGTGATTAGGCCTGGTTCACAGATGGCGTTCCAATTCATCCCAAAGGTGTTCGATGGGGTTGAGGTCAGGGCTCTGTGCAGGCCAGTCAAGTATGGACCTCGCTTTGTGCATGGTGGCATTGTCATTCTGGAACAGGAAAGGGCCTTCCCCAAACTGTTGCCACAAAGTTGGTAGCACAGAATCGTCTAGGATGACATTGTATGCTGTAGCGTTAAGATTTCCCTTCACTGGTACTAAGGGGCCTAGCCCGAACCATGAAAAACAGCCCCAGACCATTATTCCTCCTCCATCAAACTTTACAGTTGGCACTATGCATTCGGGCAGGTAGCGTTCTCCTGGCAGCCGCCAAACCCAGATTCGTCCGTCGGACTGCCAGATGGTGAAGCATGTTTCATCACTCCAGAGAAGGAGTTTCCACTGCTCCAGAGTCCAAAGATGGCGAGTTTTACACCACTCCAGCCGACGCTTGGCATTGCGCAAGGTGATCTTAGGCTTGTGTGCGGCTGTTCGGCCATGGAAACCCATTTTACGAAGGTCCCGACAAACAATTATTGTGCTGACGTTGCTTCCAGAGGCAGTTTGGAACTCGGTAGTGAGCACTGCAACCGAGGACAGACGATTTTTACGTGCTTCAGCACTCGGTGGTCCCGTTCTGTGAGCTTGTGTGGCCTACCACTTCGTGGCTGAGCCGTTGTTGCTCTTAGACGTTTCCACTTCACAATAACAGCACTTACAGTTAACCGGGGCAGCTCTATCAGGGCAGAAATTTTATGAACTGACTTATTGGAAAGGTGGCATCCTATGACGGTGCCATGTTGAAAGTCACTGAGCTCTTCAGTAAGGCCATTCTACTGCCAATCTATGGAGATTGCATGGCTGTGTGCTCGATTTTATACACCTGTCAGCAATGGGTGTGGCTGAAATAGCAGAATCCACTAATCTGAAGGGGTGTCCACATACTTTTGTATATATGGTGTATTTCAGTGAGTGATTAGAGTAGGAGTACCCTGTGAATCAATATTGGTGATGGTCGTTTGTAACATGTGTCTCCTCCTGCAGACTGGCAGATAGCCACCCTCGTGCTGCTGCTGGCCGGTGCTGCAGTGACTCTGGTGGCCTTCCTGGTGGCCCTCATCTCCCTGTGCCGGGGGACACACAGAAGGCACTACCGCACAGTAGCCGTGTTCATGTTCACTGCAGGTGAGTCCACCATACCTAAACCATCACAAACCCAACAAACCAATCCCTATTCGATCTGGCGCCGACGAAGATGGCGGCCTCGCGACTATCTCTTAGGAAACTTTGCAGTATTTTGTTTTTTTATGTATTATTTTTTACATTATTAGCTCAGAAAGTGTTTTGTATCATTACATACAGCTGGGGAAAACTATTGGATATCAGAGCGGCGGTAACTCACCAGCATTATGACCAGGAATACAACTTTCACGAAGCAGATCCTTTGTTTGCTCTCCCAAGGACAACTGAACTGATTCCAGCGGCTGACCCAAAACATCGCCGGCGGAGGAGAGGCACTCGGAGCAGCCTGCTGGTTCGACTTAGGAGGCACACACACCAACCACCGCTTCCAAGTATACTACTCGCTAATGTTCAGTCTCTGGTTAACAACGTCAACGAACTCCGAGCAAGGATTTCTTTCCAGAGAGACATCAAGGCCTGTAACAGACTTTGTTTCACAGAAACATGGCTGTCTTGGGATATTCTGTCGAAATCGGTCCAGCCAGAGGGGTTCTCAGTTCATCGCGCAGACAGGAATAAAAATCTCTCCGGGAAGCAGAAGGGCGGAGGTGTGTGTTTCATGACATACAGGAACTCGAGTCCTTTTGTTCACCTGACCTAGAATATCTCACAATCAAATGCCGACCGTATTATCTCCCAAGATAATTTTCTTCGGTTATAGTCACGGCCGTGTATATCCCCCCTCAAGCCGATACCACGACGGCCCTCAAAGAACTTCACTGGACCTTATGCAAACTGGAAACCACATAACCTGAGGCTGCATTTATTGTAGCCAGGGATTTTAACAAAGCAAATTTGAGGACTAGGCTGCCGAAGTTCTATCAACATATCGACTGTTGTACTCGCGCTGCCAAAATCCTTGACCATTGCTATTCGAACTTCCGGGATGGTTATAAGGCCCTCCCCCGCCCTCCTTTCGGCAAATCTGACCACGACTCCATTTTGCTCCTCCCTTCCTATAGGCAGAAACTCAAAAAAGAAATACCCGTGCTAAGGACTATTCAACGCTGGTCTGACCAATCGAAATCCACGCTTCAAGATTGTTTTGATCACGCGGACTGGGCTATGTTCTGGGTAGCTTCCGGAAATAATTTAGACGAATACACTGAAACTGTGACTAAGTTTATCAGGAAGTGTATAGGTGATGTTGTGCCCACTGTGACTATTAAAACCTACCCTAACCAGAAACCATGGATGGATGGCAGCATTCGCACAAATCTGAAAGCGTGAACCACCGCATTCAACCAAGGTAAGGTGACTGGGAATATGGCAGAATACAAACAGTGTAGCTACTCACTCCGCAAGGCAATTAATAGGGCAAAACATCAGTATAGAGACAAAGTGGAGTCGCAATTCAACGGCTCAGACACGAGACGTATGTGGCAGGGTCTACAGACAATCATGGACTACAAAAGGAAAACCAGCCACGTCGACGACACCGACGTCTCGCTTCCAAACAAGCTAAACACCATCTTCGCCCGCTTTGAGGATAACACAGTGCCACTGACGAGGCCCACTACCAAGGACTGTGGCCTCTCCTTTTCCGTGGCCGACGTGATTAAGACATTTAAGCATGTTAACCCCCGCAAGGCTGCCGGCCCAGACGGCATCCCTAGCCGCGTCCTCAGAGCATGCGCAGACCAACTGGCTGGTGTGTTTATGGACATATTCAATCTCTCCCTTTCCCAGTCGGCTGTTTCCACATGCTTCAAGGTGTGTTTCATTGTTCCTGTACCCAAGAAAGCAAAGGTAACTGAACTAAATGACTATCGCCCTGTAGCACTCACCTCTGTCATCATGAAGTGCTTTGAGAGACTAGTCAAGGATCATATCACCTCTACCTTACCTGTCACCCTAGACCCACTTCAATTTGCTTACCACCCCAATAGATCCACAGACGATGCAATCGCCATCACACTGCACACTGCCCTATCCCATCTGGACAAGAGGAATACCTATGTAAGAATGCTGTTCATTGACTATAGCTTAGCATTCAACACCATAGTACCCTCCAAGCTCATCATTAAGCTCGAGGTCCTGGGTCTGAACCCCGCCTTGTGCATCTTGGTCCTGGACTTCCTGACGGGCCGCCACCAGGTGGTGAAGGTAGGAAACAACATCTCCACTTCGCTGATCCTCAACACTGGGGCCCCACAAGGGTGCGTGCTCAGCCCCCTCCTGTACTCCCTGTTCACCCATGACTGCATGGCCAAGCACGCCTCCAACTCAATCATCAAGTTTGCAGACGACACAACAGATGACGAGACCGCCTACAGGGAGGGGGTGAGGGCTCTGGGAGTGTGGTGCCAGGAAAATAACCTCTCACTCAACGTCAACAAAACAAAGGAGATGATCGTGGACTTCAGGAAATAGCAGAGGGTGCACCCCCCCTATCCACATAGACGGGACCTCAGTGGAGAAGGTGGAAAGCTTCAAGTTCCTTGGCGTACACATCACCGACAAACTGAAATGGACCACCCACGCAGACAGTGTGGTGAAGAAGGCACAACAGAACCTCTTCAACCTCAGGAGGCTGAAGAAATTCGGCTTGGCACCTAAAACCCTCACAAACCTTTACAGATGCACAATTGAGATCATCCTGTCGGGCTGTATCACCGCCTGGTACGGCAACTGCACCGCCCGCAACCGCAGGGCTCTCCAGAGGGTGGTGCAGTCTGCCGAACGCATTACCGGGGGCAAACTACCCACCCTCCAAGACACGTACAGCACCCGATGTCACAGGAAGGCCAAAAAGATCATTAAGGACATCAACCACCCGAGCCACTGCCTGTTCAACCCGCTATCATCCAGAAGGCGAGGTCAGTACAGGTGCATCAAAGCAGGGACCGAAAGAATGAAAAACAGCTTCTATCTCAAGGCCATCAGACTGTTAAATAGCCATCACTAGCACATTAGAGGCTGCTGCTGCCTATTGAAATCACTGGCCACTTTAAGAAATGGAACACTAGTCACTTTAATAATGTTTACATATCTTGCACTACTCATCTCATATGTATATACTACATTATATTCTATAATATTCTACTGTATCCTAGTCCATGCCGCTCTGTCATTGCTTGTCCATATATGTATATTTTCTTAAATTCCATTCCTTACTAGTTTTGTGTGTGTATTGGGTATATGTTGTGAAATTGTTAGATATTACTTGTTAGATATTACTGCACTGTCGGAGCTAGAAGCGCAAGCATTTCGCTACACCCGCTATAACATCTGCTAAACACGTGTATGTGACAAATACGATTCGATTTGATTTGATTTGACTACATGAACACCATACAGGGACATACTGTGCCAAACACATACAAATCAAATCACATTTTAATCATCACATGCTTTGTAAAGAACAGGTGTAGACTAACAGTGAAATGCTTACTTACAAGCCCTTCCCAACAATGCAGAAAGAAAATAGAGAAATAATAGAAAGGTAATAACACGTAATGCACAATGAGTAACAATAACTTGGCTATATACACGGGGTACCAGTACTGAGTCCATGTAATTGAGGTAGATATGTACATATAACTAGGAACAAAGTGAAAAGGCAACAAGATAGATAATAAACAGTAGCAGCAGCGTATGTGATGAGTCAGAAAATGAGTGCAAAAAGGGTCAATGCAGATAGTCCGGGTAGCTATTTGGTTAACTATTTAACTGACTATTAAGCAGTCTTATGGCTTGGGGTAGAAGCTGTTCAGGGTCCTGTTGGTTCCAGACTTTGTGCATCAGTACCACTTGCCGTGCGGTAACAGAGAGAACAGTCTATGACTGGTATAGAGGTCCTGGATGGCAGAGAGCTCGGCCCCAGTGATGTATTGGGCCGTATGCACTACCCTCTGTAGCGCCTTGTGGTCGGATGCCAAGCAGTTGCCATACCAAGCAGTGATACAGCCAGTCAAGATGCTCTCAATGGTTCTACTGTATAACTTTTTGAGGATCTGTGGGCCTATATTTTCAGCCTCTTCACGACTGTGTTGGTGTTTGTGGACCATGATAGATCCTTAGTGATGTAGACACCAAGGAACTTGAAGCTCTCAACCCGCTCCACTACATCCCTGTCGATGTCAATAGGGGCATGCTCGGCCCTCCGTTTCCTGTAGTCTACGATCAGCTCCTTTGTCTTGCTGACGTTGAGGGAGAGGTTGTTGTCCTGGCACCACACTGGCAGGTCTCTGACCTCCTCCCTATGGGCTGTCTCATTGTCGTTGGTGATCAGGCCTACCACTAATGATGTTGTTGGAGTCATGTGTGGCCTCGCAGTCATGAATGAACAGAGAGTACAAGAGGGGACTAAGCACGCACCCCTGAGGGGCCCCTGTGTTGAGGGTCAGCGTGGCATATATGTTGTTGCCTACCCTCACCACCTGGGGGCGGCTCGTCAGGAAGTCCAGAATCCAGTTGCAGAGGGAGGTGTTCAGTCCCAGGGTCCTTAGCTTAGTGATGAGCTTGGAGGGGACTATGGTGTTGAATGCTGAGCTATAGTCAATGAACAGCATTTTCACATAGGCACAACATGGAGATACAGTATAATGCTTTCCCTCATACCACATTGGTCTCCATACAGACAGAATTCACAATTTCAGAACATAGTCAAGTTGTTTGCACAAAGCTAAATAGACTGAGACTGTGAGGGTGGAGAAGGAGAGGTTGGGGGGATGAGAGGGGAGTTGGAGTTGAGCTAACTCTTTCTGTGGTGAGGGATCTGCTGTGAAACCCAGAAAGCAGGCTGATGTGTGCCAAGAAAAAGCAGCCGCAGAATTTGCACAGTTACCAGTGAAGAGAGGAATGTATTCCTTCATGGATAATATCCAGGAAGAAAAAACTCATTCTCCCACAGCTCTCTCTGCTCGGTCTGCTCCCCCTCTCTCTGCTTGCACTCTCTGCTTCCTCTCTTCCCTCTCTCTGCTCTCTCTTTCTCTCTCTCCCCCTCTCAATGGTCTCTCTTTCATTTTCTGCTCTCTCTCTCTCTTTCCCCCTTTCTCTCTGCTCTCTCCTTCACTAGGCTTTTCCTTCTCAGGTTCAGGGAAAACACAATTAAGAGGCCATGCCGGAATGACAGTGCTGAGGAGCATTTAACTCTTAAAACTAACTAATTGTTCAAAACAAACTCATTTCACAATACTTTTTATCTGTCTTCTCTGAACTGTACTGTAGCAAATCAACAGCTGCATATTACTACCAATACATCGCCATATAAAACATCCACAGAGGGGACAAGCACAGTAAGCCAAATAAGGAAGCAATATTAAAACCAACATCGCTTTTTTCTGTTTGTTCTTGTAATGAAAAAGAGTGTGTGTGTGCATGTTTGTGTGTGTGATGTCAGGAATAGAGCAGTGTGCAGTGCAATCAGTACATCTTGTGGTTTGAAAACAATGATGAAGCAGAGACAAAAGCCTTTGCCTGGTTTGTGCTATGTCCCACTTTCCCCAACATTCCCCAATATAAAACAAACTTATATAACAGACAGGCATCCTATTATTGAATTTATGTAGAATGAAAACAAATACCATTGCTCCCACTCCCGGCACTTTCTCGGGCCTAAACAAATATCTTTCCCAAGTTTTCTGCTTGGGAAGTTTTCTGCTTGGAGTCCATTGAGAGACAGGTGTCAGGATGTATACAAGCAACCATTGGTTCCATCAGCCAGTTACTTAGCCAGTTGCTCTTAGAAAAAGCCAAAAGGCCTCCAATACTGTAGGACCAGTATGTGGTGGGATAGATTGTGGTAGATGTAATGTCTGATGCTGTCGCTGTTTGTCATTTGCTAAGAAATGTGGGAGATGCAGTGTTTTTTTTCCCTCTCTGTAATTGCTTTCAGGCCTGTTAAGGATAAAGGTCTCCTTATGGCAGGAGAGCCCTCAGTCACAGGATGGAGGGGAGAGGGGGGCTGTGGTAAATGCCCCCAGTCAGAGAGAGAGGCTAAGATTCAGTGTTGTGCCTGTCTGCTGGCCAGAAGTACAGCCCCAGCCCAACCGCCTCAGTCTGGCCTCCGTCAACAGTCACGTTCCTGGGCTTATGTCTCATGCTCGCCCCCTCCTCTCCTCCAGGCCCCGCCGCCTTGTCCAGCAGGAAGTAAATAGATGGGGTCTCAGTAAAGTACACAATGTCCCCTCTCTGAGTCAGTCCACATATACACACACTCACACGTGCACATGCACACAGGGAAAAGGAACAGTAGTTAGAGAGAGCCCACACTGTGGTATTTCCTCTCCCCCTCTTTAAACATGACGCCTTACTGTTTGACCCTAAAAGTAGGAAGAAGACACATGCCTCACCGCACACACGTGAGTACACCCGTGTGTGTGTACACACACACACACACACAGACTGACCAACGCTCACTCTGATTCATTGCCCACACAGTGACTGCTTCCCTGCTCTTAAATATATTTATTAGGAATGTGTTGACTCAGAATGTGAGGAATGTGATGTGAGGAGTTTACACAATGTGACCAAAGTGAATCAAAGTGAATCATAAAGTGAATAGTTATGTCTGTAGTGGTATTATAACCAATTTCAATCGACTGACATTGGTGACTATCCCATAGGATGAACAGGACACTCGCTGAGCCTTATAACAGTCTAACAACTGTGTGGCAACTAGTGCGTCAAACCTTTCCTACTCCACATACAAAGTGCACAGAGAAATGTTAACACAGCATAGACATAATAAAAGTTCTGTCACTATAGGGATATTATAGAGTGACCCAATGTGTTTTCTATTATAAGCTCTGCCACCATAGGTCCGACCACAGTCCAGCGGAACACAACTTCACAAGTTATAAAGGCACACTTGTGGAACTTTTTACTTTTCTTTGGAAGTTCAGGATTATAGGCTTTGGCCACTTGACAGTATATGCCCACAAAGAGTTAGAATTATAATAGGCTTTTACCTACAGACTTCAGTTCAGCGTGTAAAATGCTGGACCAGAATTGTTCACTACAATAATCCTATATTTAGGCTGTGGTCAATAAAGGCCAAGAATGTTCTGCCATAACCATACAACATATGGTAGAGCATTTCTCAGTGTCAACCCAAGGAGAATGCATTAGAACTTTATTAGAGAACTAGAGATTGGATACAGCATGCAGTAGTATGTTTTGTTTGTTTACTGAGTGGTGGAGCATGGGCGGCTGGGTTTGTTGTGCCTGTTAGTTGGCTGCTGGCTGCAGTAATGAGCAGCTGTTGGGTCTCTGAGGGAGGGGCACAGAGAGTGTGAGAGGAACCCAGGGGGATGAACAGGGTTTATAGAGTGTAGAGGACACTGAGGGGAGGGGGTGTGATAGGACCCCCTGGGTAGCGGCTGGTTGGGGTTCTATCACCCCCCTGCTAGCCTGGCTGTTGTTCCCTCTCTGACTCACACATGGCTCCAGTTTCCCATCAGCAGCCTTGGCATCACTAGCTCCCTACCTGCACACAGCTAGTCATTCATTCATACAACAAGGCAAGCAGAAGTGATGATGGCTAGCTGGTTCCCTTTTACCAGGACACATCTCAAATAGTTGGGCCCTATAAAATCTGTTTTATTTTTTGCATGATTCAGTTTTTTCACCCCAAATTCAGTTTTCTCCGTTTAGTTTTTCCCGGTTTTCGTTTTAAGTTTTCTCTTTCCAAATCACGTTTTTTAAATTGATTGAAAAACACCACAATTGAGAATTCTATGTCCACAACAATGCTTAAAACCACATCAGAAGACCACTTTGAGGTCTGGGAAAAATCTAAGAAATTTAGATTTTTGGGTGTAGTTACCCTTTAATGCAAGTATACACCAACAAGAGACTGTTGTTTGGTTAGTTAGGTTTCTGTAGCGCTCATGTGATTGCAGAGTTTGCAAAACAAATGGCCACTGGATTTATGCAGATAATAAAATCAAATCAAATCAAATTTTATTGGCCACATGCGCCAAATACAACAGGTGCAGACATTACAGTGGAATGCTTACTTACAGCCCTTAACCAACCGTGCATTTATTTTTAATAAAAAAGTAGAATAAAACAACAAAAAAGTGTTGAGAAAAAAATAGCAGAAGTAAAATAAAATAACAGTAGGGAGGCTATATATACAGGTGGGTACCGGTGCAGAGTCAATGTGCGGGGGGCACCGGCTAGTTGAGGTAGTTGAAGTAATATGTACATGCATAAATAATTAACAGAATAGCAGCAGCGTAAAAAGATGGGGTGCGGGGCAGTGCAAATAGTCCGGGTAGCCATGATTAGCTGTTCAGGAGTCTTATGGCTTGGGGATAGAAGCTGTTGAGAAGTCTTTTGGACCTAGACTTGGCACTCTGGTACCGCTTGCCGTGCGGTAGCAGAGAGAACAGTCTATGACTAGGGTGGCTGGAGTCTTTGACAATTTTGAGGGCCTTCCTCTGACACCGCCTGGTATAGAGGTCCTGGATGGCAGGAAGCTTGGCCCCAGTGATGTACTGGGCCGTACGCACTACCCTCTGTAGTGCCTTGCGGTCAGAGGCCAAGCAGTTGCCATACCAGGCGGTGATGCAACCAGTCAGGATGCTCTCGATGGTGCAGCTGTAGAATTTTTTGAGGATCTGAGGACCCATGCCAAATAATAATGATATCATTCTGCCAGGTAGGCATAGGCTACTTTGTAGTTGACATTTAATTGAGAAGGTTTTTGGGAATGCCTTTCCAGCTTCCAGAAGACAGTTGTCATTACATTAGCGTCATCGCTAACGGCTACACAAAGTGGTAGACAAACGCGCACACACAGACTGGGGCATTCCTGTGTCATTGCCTCTTCAGAAAGTTGAAGGAAAATACAAATCACTGATGCATTTTGTTAATGTCTTATGATAATCATGGGCATATTAATGAATGTTGTAATAAGTTCAATACATTTTTTTATTCCGTTTTAATGTCTGGATTCCGTGATTCTGTTGGCAACGTGGATTTTATAGGGCCCTAAAATAGTATACAGAGATAGGAGACGCACAAAGTCTAACTGTAAACATGTTCACATCTTTCTGTGGATTTCTTATCAAGATTTTTTCCCTTTCTTTCAGTGGTCCTTCAGGCCTGTGCACTGGTCCTCTACCCAATCAAGTTCATTGATGGAACAGTCCTGCAGACCTACCATGAGTTCAACTGGGGCTACGGACTGGGCTGGGGAGCCACCATCTTCATGCTAGGAGGAGGCATCCTCTTCTGCCTCCGGACGGACATGTATGAGGACGCTATGTACTGAGTCCTTTCTCTCTCCTTCTCCTACTCTCTCTATCTATCACACACACACACACACACACACACACACACACACACACACACACACACACACACACACACACACACACACACACACACACACACACAAACAAACAAACAAACAAACAAACAAACAAACAAACAAACAAACAAACAAACAAACAAACAAACAAACAAACAAACAAACAAACAAATATTCACACTCATACTCTTGTACGACAACACACACACACACACATAAACATACACACACATGTCCCCCAAACTTCTTTCCTCTGCCCACATAGACAAGCTTAGATACCTACATATATCTCACAGACACCACTCCGTGCTGTTATTTATAGACAGGGTGTGAGGACCTATTCTAAGCCAGGGCTCCTGGCTCTGGCTGATCAACAGGAGAGATGAAGTCGGAGGAACAGCTGTGTGGAGAAAGTGTCTGTCTGTCCTTAGTGGGCTCCCAGAGACCTTTTCTACAGCACATCCCATGGATCTCCATTCGTAGAGGAACAAGGAAGATTCTCTGACGCCTCCCCTCTGGGCTGAGGTGTTTATATAAGGGATTGGTATATATTCCTTTTATTGGGTGTATTTTTTTGTTGTTTAGAATTTCATGATGACAAATCATATTGTTAATGTATTGATATTATCATTTATCTTGCTATCCAATCTCCCATAGGAAGGTATATTTAATGTATTGCTGTTTGATAATTGCAGTTTCTGAACACTGATCAGAGGTGAATCCCTAGCTACGTGTCTTCATAGCTGAAACATATCTGGTTTTGCCAGCTCCTTACATTTGAAGTGTAAAATAAACAGTACTGATATATATGCAAAAATGAACATGTGTTTCTAATTTGTTTTGAATTATTACAGCAGTCTTCAGCTTTTGCATAGCTCTGGCTCTGGATTATGTCAACTGAGCTTTGCAAATTGATTTGGTGGTCTTTATCCAGTCTTTGGATCTGTTCAAATTTTTTCACAATGAAGAATACAAATAATGTGAACAACATACATAACAGAGGGTCTTTGAATAGTTGCACATGTTTAGTTTGTCATAACTCAAGTAGAGTCTGTCTAACATCCCTACCGTAAGACCTCGGGCCCAGAAATACCCAATCAAAGCTATGGCAGGAATGTACCACTGAGCAGGGGAGGAGGGGGGTAAATGATAGGTGCCTTGCTTTGGAGGAAATGGCATGGCAGAGAGCCACTTGCAACATTTCTTACAAGGCTATACCATTCTCCCACAGCCCAGGACACAAGGGTCTCGCAGGCCAGAAAGAAACAGCCGCAGCAATCCAATTATAGTTGCCATTACCAGTATGGCTGCTTGTGGCTCTACAGCTAAATGGGACGTGGGAATGAGACTCCTGGGTTGGAGCGTAATGGGGTTTGGAGCTATTGGCTGGCAGGATATTGATGGTCTCTTAGGGCTCTACGCAGACACTAACAGTGCTGCTTCCTGTCCACTAGATGAAAGTGGGGCCAAACACCAGAGGCAAAATAGTTCAGGACCTCCCATTTATTACATGCTTATGGTGCCATTAGAGTGATGGAGTATCATTATTGGCTATTTTTTTCATTTGGATAGTAGGGACTCTCATCGTAATGGGTATGTAAATATCAAACACGTCCAAAGGCTGTGCCATTCATTTCACTTGTGAAATATTCATTTGACAGGCTATGGGTAAGCATATGGGTATAACAATACATTCAAGTCAAAGTCATTCTCCTAGAGTCAGTCCACCCTTTTCCTCCCTGCATTATTTTGCACACCTGTAACTACCGTTCCATACATTCCTTTTCCCCCCTGGATATTCTACAGAAGCTCACTGTTACGTAATCAAGCCATCGTTTCAGGGGCTGTTTTAAATGACTTGTTTATTAGCTCCTCAAAACAAACCATCAGCGTTGTTGTTCCCCCTCTGTGACTCCAGACTGTTTTCCCCTGCAGGCTGTGTTTCTAAGACAGAGAGGGGAAGGGAATGCACTGCATGGGCTGCTGTTTTAGTTCAGCCCATCTCATCTGGTTTCAATTCCATGGATACTGAGGGCTGTGATAAAATTAGCCTTGATATAAAAAAAAAGTCAAGAAATGAAAAACGCTGATGGCATACTCAGCGAGGGAGGTCTTGAGCCACTCTCCATTTTTGTCATTCTCTTAGTAATAAGACTCATGTTGTGTCTGGGGGCCCCAGCAGGGTTGCTATGTAACTGTGTGACTGTGTGTTCAGTGGCGCTGGACCCAGAGGAGGTGTCCAGGCACACCAGTGCTCAGCTGTTCCTCCTGAACCACTGACTCTCAGGTGTCAGGTGGAGAGTCTGGCCGCCTGGTGCCTGTCCTCCCTGGTGCTGCGTGCCCACTCCTCTCTACCTACCCAGCAGAGCGCACACTGCAGCAGCTGGGGCTCTCTGCCTGGAATGGGGTGATTCTCAACACCATCTATCTTCAACCTGTTTGTATTTTAGCTGCACCAGTGAGAAATGCCCCATGTTACTGTGCGTGGGTGCTCTTGTAGAACACTTCTGCCACGATGTCGGCCTCTGTCCCCAAGCTGTCAACAGCTTTTCATAGGAGTCTGGAGGGGTGTTAGGTCAAAATGGATGCTTAGCTTCTCTGATTGTTACTGGAGTGGCTGTGCTAGGGCCAAAGTTGATAGTTTTCTTTTTTTAGAAAGAACCTTTCAAAAATTCATGGACTGCAGCTTGTTGGTTAGTGGTGCATGATCACGTGGTGTGTGGCGTATTGGGTACATATACTTTACATAGGGGGAGCTTCTATAGAATGACAGGTGTCCAGCTGTGTTATTGGAAGGGAAAGGGGGATACCCAGTCAGTTGTACAACTGAATGCATTCAGCTGAAATGTGTCTACCAAGAGCGTATCCTAGGTCGTAACTGAAGGAGTCTAATCTGTAGCTCATGTCATATTGCACTAACTTATTGAGTTTGGTAGCGAAGGCATACTACGTATTTATTTCATTATGCATACACACACTTATTAATACACAATACAAGTATGCACAAACACTGTCATTATTTTAAATGATAAACAATAAATAATCAACTTTATAGAGCTAAAGAACATGTTCGCTGCCACAATTATTTTCTTTACTTTACAATCCCTCTCATTAAGGAAGCGCATCTGATAGCATTGAGGTCATTGGAGAATTCATCCTGTTTCGTAGTCTGACCACACCTGCACTGTAAACATGTCTCCCTCTCGCCTCCTAGTGGACAAACCTAACACTGAGATACTGCTGGGAAAAGGCATGGCCTCATTGGCCTGTTAAAGGACGTTTTTTTGATGATGTGTTGTTGTTTGTAGATGCTGTCTCCTCAGTAGGGCTTTTGTCTTGAGAGTGTCTCCTCTTGGGCAGGATGTTTCTACAGCTGCAGCTACAGGTTCTGCTGCTCACCTCTGGAGGTGTGGTAGGTGACACCATACAGTTTCCACAGTCAGCACCTCCTGACTATTCCTGACGGGTCTTGACTCCCTCACACCTGGCCCTTCTGTCCCCTCCCCCCTCCTCCTCCTCCTCCACCCCACACTTACACCACCTCAGCTCTAGGTCAACATTCACACTGCTAAATAAACAAAGTAGGAAATAGTATCCCAGGCCTACAACAAAACGACTTAGAAGTGCAACTGGTTGGAAAAACTTCATTTCAAATGTAGAGACAGATGTAATATTCCATATGCTCAATATGAATAATAAGTTAACGTCCAGACACAAATCGAGTTGATGGTCATTTATCTAGAAGTGTTGCATGGTTCACATATACATACCCTGCCCATCTTCCGGAAACATCTGAAACCCTACCTCTTCAAACAGTATCTTAATTCATCCTCCTCCTCACCTTTACCAGCACTTGCACTTTTACCAGCACTTGCACTTTTACCAGCACTTGCACTTTTACCAGCACTTGCACTCTAGCTCTGACTCTATTGATAGCTACTTTATTGAGGAAAAATGTACTCTCTATGCCTGTGATATGTGATTGTCCCACCTCGCTTTCTTAAGATGAATGCACTAACTGTAAATTGCTCTGGATAAGAGCATCTGCTAAATGACTAAAATGTCAATGTAATGTTCACTGGTTGACTGACTACCATAAACTGTAGTACTATGGATCCACCATGAGTGTTGTATTACACTAGTGTTGTCGTAAACAATGTCGTCAATGTTACTGCACTGTCGTGCCTAAATATTACAAATGTGAGTCCAAATGTTGATATGCAGTAAGTGATATGGCTATACAAAAAACAAACTCCCCCATGCAAACTATATACAGTACATATAACTTCCCAATGAGTCCTCCAAAAGCGTGAGATGCCATGGCGAGCAGCCTGACCCCAGGGCGCAGTAACCAGCCGGCCCTGCTCTACAGTGTCTCTGCAGGGACAGATTCCAGTTACTGAGCCTGGAGGACAGAGGTAGGCAGGGGATGGAATCATAGGCTTGGGCAGTGAAACCATTAACAAGGGCAGGGCCAGCCCTAGGCATAAGGAATAAGCGGTGGATTAGTGACTTCCAACCTAAAAACAAATAAAGACAAAAACATATTTTTAAAAGGGGTGGGGGGGGGGGGGGGGGGGGGGACTCAGTCGGAGTCTGAATTTACTGTTGCGAGCAAGTATAAGTAGAATACATAAGGTGCCATTTCGAAATTTGGTTGTGCATCAGCAGTTTTTCTCTTATGTTATGTCAGTCACTGACATTCACTCAATTAGCCCATGTCAGCTAAATAAAAATTGACTGATAAGTTAGTCTAGCCAGCTATCTAAACCTTATAGTAATCATGGCCCCCATTGATTTTGTTAGTCACTCTCACTCAGATATCATATTAGCATGGCATAAGTCATGGCAAAATGTGTAGAATTGCAGGAAATTAGTTATACAATTGCAAAATGTTCTCTACGCCCCATCAAGAGGGGGCCACTTAAATGTTTTGCCTGTGAGGTGGGGGGTCCCCCAACCAAATCTCACCTAGGGCCCTCAAAAGGCTTGGGCCTGCCCTGACCAAGGGCCATGGT